CAGAGTACAAAGTGAGAGACAGAGTACAAAGGGAGAGACAGAGTACAAAGTGAGAGACAGAGTACAAAGTGAGAGACAGAGTACAAAGGGAGAGACAGAGTACAAAAGGAGAGACAGAGTACAAAGTGGAGAGACAGAGTACAAAGGAGAGACAGAGTACAAAGGAGAGGACAGAGTACAAAGGGAGAGACAGAGTACAAAGGAGAGACAGAGTACAAAGTGAGAGACAGAGTACAAAGTGAGAGACAGAGTACAAAGAGAGACAGGAACAAAGGAAACAAGTACAAAGTGAGAGACAGAGTACAAAGGGAGAGACAGAGTACAAAGTGAGAGACTGAGTACAAAGGAGAGACAGAGTACAAAGTGGGGAGACAGAGTACAAAGTGAGAGACAGAGTACAAAGGGAGAGACAGAGTACAAAAGGAGAGACAGAGTACAAAGGGAGAGACAGAGTACAAAGGGAGAGACAGAGTACAAAGTGAGAGACTGAGTACAAAGTGGGGAGACTGAGTACAAAGGGAGAGACAAAAGTACAAAGTGAGAGACAGAGTACAAAGTGAGAGACAGAGTACAAAGGGGAGAGACAGAGTACAAAGTGAGAGACAGAGTACAAAGGAGAGACAGAGTACAAAGGAGAGACAGAGTACAAAGTGAGAGACCCGAGTAAAAAAAGGGAGAGACAAGTACAAAGTGGAGAGACAGAGTACAAAGTGAGAGACAGAGTACAAAGTGGAGAGACATAGTACAAAAGTGAGAGAACAGAGTACAAAGTGGGGAGACAGAGTACAAAGTGAGAGACAGAGGTACAAAGGTGAGAGACAGAGTACAAAGGGAGACAGAGTACAAAGAGTACAGAGTACAAAGGAGAGACAGAGTACAAAAGGGAGAGACAGAGTACAAAGGGGAGAGACAGAGTACAAAGGGGAGAGAACAGAGTACAAAGTGAGAGACAGAGTACAAAGGAGAGACAGAGTACAAAGTGAGAGACAGAGTACAAAGTGAGAGACAGAGTACAAAAGTGAGAGACAGAGTACAAAGTGGGGAGACAGAGTACAAAGGGAGAGACAGAGTACAAAGGGAGAGACAGAGTACAAAGTGAGAGACAGAGTACAAAGGGAGAGAAAGAGACAGAGTACAAAGGGAGAGACAGAGTACAAAGGGAGAGACAGAGTACAAAGTGAGAGACAGAGTACAAAGGGAGAGACAGAGTACAAAGGGAGAGACAGAATACGAAGGGAGAGACAGAGTACAAAGGGAGAGACAGAGTACAAAGGGAGAGACAGAGTACGAAGGGAGAGACAGAGTACAAAGGGAGAGACAGAGTACAAAGGGAGAGACAGAGTACGAAGGGAGAGACAGAGTACAAAGGGAGAGACAGAGTACAAAGGGAGACACACACAAACACGAATACAAACACACACACACACACACACACACACACACACACACACACACAGCCTGGAGAGGCTGGACATGTGGTCCAGTAACTGGCTTCTCGAATTCAATCCAGCCAAATGCAAAGTCATGAAGATTGGGGAGGGGCAAAGAAGACCGCAGACAGAGTATAGGCTAGGTGGACAAAGACTACAGACCTCACTCAGGGAGAAAAACCTTGGGGTGACCATAACACCGAGCACATCACCGGAGGCACACATCAACCAAATAACCGCTGCAGCATACGGGCGCCTGGCAAACCTGAGAATAGCGTTCCGATACCTTAATAAGGAATCGTTCAAGACACTGTACACTGTGTATGTTAGGCCCATTACTGGAGTATGCAGCACCAGTCTGGAACCCACACCTGGTCAAGCACGTCAAGAAGTTAGAGAAAGTACAAAGGTTTGCAACAAGGCTAGTCCCAGAGCTCAAGGGAATGTCGTACGAGGAAAGGTTAAGGGAAATCGGACTGACGACACTGGAGGACAGAAGGGTCAGGGGAGACATGATAACGACATACAAGATACTGCGGGGAATAGACAAGGTGGACAGAGATAGGATGTTCCAGAGAGGGGACACAGGGACAAGGGGTCACAACTGGAAGCTGAAGACTCAGACGAGTCACAGGGACGTTAGGAAGTATTTCTTCAGTCATAGAGTTGTCAGCAAGTGGAATAGCCTAGCAAGTGAAGTAGTGGAGGCAGGAACCATACATAGTTTTAAGAAGAGGTATGACAAAGCTCAGGAAGCAGAGAGAGAGAGGATCCAGTAGCGATCAGTGAAGAGGCGGGGCCAGGAGCTGAGTCTCGACCCCTGCAACCACAATTAGGTGAGTACAATTAGGTGAGTACACACACACACACACACAGTGAAGAGGCGGGGCCAGGAGCTACGACTTGACCCCTGTAACCTCAACTAGGTGAGTACAACTAGGTGAGTACACACACACACACCTTCCAAGTAGCCCAGATTTCGAGATGTTCTCCAGATTTCTGCTCTTGACAGAGAGTGAATCTGTCAGTCTGTCTCCCAAGATGTCTGTCAGTCTGTCTCCCAAACTGTCTGTCAGTTTGTCTTCCAAGCTGTCTCCCAAACTGTCTGTCAGTATGTCTCCCAAACTGTCTGTCAGTATGTCTCCCAAACTGTCTGTCAGTCTGTCTCCCAAGATGTCTGTCAGTCTGTCTCACAGACTGTCTGTCTGGCTGTCTTAACGCTAAGAGTGTTCTTAAGGCTGCCTCAGGCTGGTAAACACTTCCTGTCAGCTGAGAGGATGGTAGAAAAGACTTTAGAAGACTGGGAACAAAACCAACCTAATTAATGCCGAGGTCAATACTCTTCTGAGAGAGAGAGAGAGAGAGAGAGAGAGAGAGAGAGAGAGAGAGAGAGAGAGAGAGAGAGAGAGAAGAGAGAGAGAGAATTAAATCTGCTGTAGCTCTGTCTTAGCTGTTTAGAACCTTTGTAAAGTGGGATTTTCCTCCGTAAATCCGTGCTGGCTTTCTGTAAGCTAGTTTACCTCCTCTCTCTCTATCTCTCTCTCGCTCTAAGTGCTCCACCAGCCTCCCTCTGGTTATCTTTCAGTGCTCTGAATACTGTACCACGTCAGTCAGGTGTTCAGATGTCGTACTGAAAGCAAGAATTACGTCACGGGTTGTACAGCCAACTGTTCCACTTACAGGAGACAGAATCTTGTCACGATGTTTCGCTCCGACTTGGACCATTAACTAGTCAATGGTCCAAGTCGGACCGAAACGTCGTGGTCAGTTTTTCTCTCCTCTTTGCGGGTTATTTGTGTATTGTACCAGTCACGGTATTGTACCAGTCACGGTATTGTTCCAGTCACGGTAGTGTGACTTTCTTCTTCGGAGTTTTCGTGGGCGACGTGTCGCCCTGTGAAGCTTCTTATCAAGTGATGTTTCGCTTTATGCAGAGTCTTGCCAAGTCTTGATAAAGCTCAATAATGTGCGAAATGTTGTTCCAACAACAGCGTGTTTCGTAATGTGAATGTTCATAATAATAATAATAATAATAATAATAATAATAATAATAATAATAATAATAATAATAATAATAATAATAATAATCTTTATTTCTACCAGTACATGATACAACTTATACAGACCATAGCTCACATCAGTGACATACTATATAGAAAGTCCCTGGTTATGCTGAGCATTTCCCGCAACTTAGGGTAATTTTCTCCCCAGGATGCCACCCACACCAGTCCACTAACACTCAGGTACCTATTTTTACTGATGGGTGAACATGGACAGCAGGTGTCTTAAGGAAACACCTCCTAATGTTCCCACCCGTAACGGGGATCGAACCACGGACCTAATCTTTGATACAGGTTAAGTATATTGGTTCTCTCAGTGCCCAGGGTGATGTGTTGTCAGGCCCCCCTGACTTGCGTGACGTCAGTAATGCGTCAGTAATACGTCAGCAATACGTCAGTAATACGTCAGTAATACGTCAGTAATACGTTTATTCCTGTCGTTAGATTCATGACTATACTTGTAAAATAAGTACATCGAAAAAAATAGTGAAATTCCAAGAGCTTTCGTGATTTCTGACATTATCAAGGAACATCCAACAGCAGCAGCCTGGTTGACCAGGCTAGCACCAGACGAGCCTGGCCCATGGCCGGGCTTCGGGAGTGGAAAGACTCGCAACTTAACAAGGGTATATCTTATAATGTGAGAAATCACTGTTTTTCTCACTGTGATTATTTTAAATATTTTGATATCACCTGTTTACTGTGACCATATTGCGTGAATATACACGAGGAACACTATACATACAATTTGCATAAGAAGGTAACACAGAGTGGATCATTTATTGACAACATTTCGCCCCTGTGGCGAGCCTTCTTCAGGTCGTGAAACGTTATCGGTAAAAAAATCTCATTATGCTGCATTTATGTTTCTCTTTCTATCATTTCTCTCCCATCCGCATTAACATTTTTTCAACCCCGCGGGTTTAACTCCGATCTGCTAACTCGTCTTCTATGTGGTACGGTATTAGGTGCTTTCTGACAATCTAGGAAAGTGCAGAATATCCATCCTTCTCTGTACTCACCTGTATGTGGTTGTAGGGGTCGAATCACAGCTCGCGAGCTCAGTCAGGCTCCATCTCTCATTCCCGAATCCATGCTGGGAGCTCCGTGAGATAATTAGAACTTTCTCTATGAGGGAAGGACGTGTTGAAAGAGAAATTCCCATGAATAACTCTGGAAACTTGAATAAATATGGGAGTGCCTAATTTACATATATGTATTTCTTTAGTAAAATTTAAATTTGTCATTAAGATTGATGTCTATGTTTGTGTACGGGGTCATGGGAGGTAAAGAGAGAGACTGGAACGGGAAAGGAAGAGGAGGAGGAGGAGAAAGACAAGAGGAATAGGAGGAGGAGGAGACGCCGATAATGTAGCGATGGAAGGTAGAAGGGGGGACTGGCTGGCTGTGTGGGTGTTTAGCGTAGGAGTAAGGAAAGTGTGGAGGTAGTCCAAGAGGAGAGGTGGTGCACTGGTGTTCCAGAGTCATTCAGTCTGGGATCATCCACGCAGCCGTGAGCAGTGCAACCCATCGCTCCTCTGTGTGTGTACGGTCACGCTTCTGAGTTTTCAGACCAGCTGCAGGACCACAAGTTCTTGTGGGGTGTCTGTGAGACAAAGAGCTTTTGGGGAAAGGTAGTCTTTTGGAACTTTAAGAAAAGGTCTGCTGCAAAAGACCTAAAGATCGTGCGTGTGTTTCCGTTCGGGAAGTTTAAGATCAACTTGGACCAGACGTGTGTATGTGTATGGGTGAGTGTGTATGTGTGTGTGTGTGTGTGTGAGTTGGGGGACTTAAATCTGGCTTATTCAAAAGACTTGAAACTCTTGTGTGTGTCTGTGTACGTCTGTGTTTGGACAAGGGGTTCACCATACCCTCACAGGCCGTCCCGGTGTATTGTCTTAGTAGAAAGACCAAGACTTACCAGACCAAATACCAACAAGTTCCTCGATCCGACATTAATGTGACCATTAAGTCACAACAAGTCAAAGTTAAACTGAAGATTTTCCGAACCTTAACAATTTTACAAATTTAATCCCGACATTCTCGGAAATTCGACATAAAGTGGCCAGACCTTAAAATTATTAGCGAAACCAGAAAACCCAGATCAAAATTCACTCCTACGTGTTTACGACATAAAGGATCTTTGGTGTCAGAGAAGGATTCAGCTGCAAAAGCTATAAGAGCAACGAAGGACACGCCTCAATCCCTCTTGTTGTCTCGGTCAAGGATCCTCAACGGGATTGAATACCTTATCATCATGGTGTTACAACAGCGTCATGTTTATCCATGACACTGATAAACTTGAATGTGTTGTTGACACCTGGATGGTACTAGTGCGCTTACCACAAGTTAGGCAGAATAGCAACATGTAAAATCTGGGAAAATTCATAAATTTAATATCTGTAAGTTGCGATTAAAATGAAATTCTTGGTACCGGCGTTGTTAAGAAGTTTTAACAATAGCAGAGGTGTGAGTTGGAAGCAAACTTTTAAGCCCAGTTACTGCCAATAATTAGTTTAAACAAAAGACCATTTTAAAACTGTCAATAACAGAAGAATGTTCTACAGCATCTAACACTAGAACAAACGTTAAAGACGAGCGGCCAAGAACAGCTCATTCTAGACAAGTGATCAAGGTTAGAGCCAACGTTCAAGTCAGGCGCACAAGACTAGAACAAACGTTCCGGTCGAACGAGTTTGACATAAACAGACACTTAAATGAAGAGAGCTAGACCACAAGAGACACTCCGAGTGAAGGATTAACCGAACACTCAACACACTGCTCTGGAGTGTTTACACCTATGTGTCGCTGGAGGGGCTAGCAAGAGAGACACACCTGCAGAAGAACGGACACCTCAGGCAGAATCCCACATATAGAGACGCATCTGGGGAGTAAACAAATACTCTTCCAACACCAGAGGGCCGAATACAAGTTCCCTATCAACCCAATTTTTCCGTCCATCCGGGAAGAATAAACACGAGATTAGACACATATATTAAGCGACACACGAAGAGAGAGAGAAGAAGAAGAAGAAAGGTAGATGCAAACGGGAGAAATAGGAAAGACAGTCTGAGCACACCGATGTAAAAAGTAATAAGCACGTAGAGACAAGCGAGATATATAGCACACGACTCAGTGGAAGAACCACAGTTCTGTTAGTGATAACACAAAGACAGCGTAGGAGGTGCAAGAGACATAGGTGTGGAATACACACAGAGGAACAACACTGAAATATCAAAAAAAGAAGGCGAGCCTGACAAAGGGAACTTACAAAAAGCGAAAGGGGTGAGTGCGTGAGTAAGCACGACGGCGTGTGTGCTCAATATAGGTATATCCGCCGCTACAGTCCTCCAAGGTATGTAGAACGACTCTGGATGACTGATTACACCGTCAGCGCCGTCCACGTGAGTCTCTGTCTCGCCGCTCACACCACCGTCAGCGTCGCCTGCAGGACATGACGCCAGTCTAGCCACCCCGCCCTCTGGAAACCTCTGAATGCTTGAGGTACGATCGCCAGTTTGACATCGACTAGCAAGGCGTCTCACGCTGTGAACGAGACACTTGTGCTGAGGTTCAAAATACATGAAGTCATAGATTAATCTTTAATTTAACAGAAAAAAAAAGATATTTACAATAGCTGTGAAGATTTTAGAAAGAAAACAACATCACCGAAATGTTGGCGAAGCTTTGGTTAATGTTTGTGGTTGCCTGTATTTGCCTGCACGCAGGCACTCAAGCGACAGCTGCGCCACCAGCAGCAGCAGCAACAACAACAAAGAAAGATGTCCTTTTGACCCAGTTGTTGAGAGCTCTTGAACTGTATAACGGGAAGGGCGCCGCCCAGGCTGCCAAGAACCTACTGAGTACCGCCCAGGGCTACTCCGCTGACAAGGGCATGAGGCTGGTACCCAGTTCTCTACCTGACGAGCAGAACATCAAGGACATGGCCGTGTTGGTGTATTTGTCGTCTTCCAAGCGGCGGGGCAAGAATGGACCTTTGAAGCCTGAAGTTCGAATCGACTACGTCCCCAAGGAACTGGTCTTCGGTAAGACCACGAACTCGAGCGCCAAATATACCCCAGTGCAGTACTTCGCTGTCAAGAAAGCAAAGTTGGCAAAGCACAAGGAAGGGAATATGGGTCAGGATGCTCATCGAGGGGAAGAAAGCGTTCCTCTGAGTGTTTGGCCCCCCGGGGAATCAATTAACGAGGCTAAACGTCGGAACCACCGCCTCCGCAACTCTGCTCACTCTGGGGACACCCTACTTGCACGCCCAAAACGCTCACTCTGGTCTTCCTATGAACGGCACCAGGAACGGCCGTTGACAGAGACCGCAGTACAACTCGGCGACGTCCCACGCCGGAAGTACTACAGGGCATTTAGTCTCCATCGTCGCCACGGACCGGAAGCAGACAGTAGGAAAGCCCTAATCGAGGAGGAAAGCGCCGTCACCTCGCGACAGTTTGGGTTCATCGGCACCGCAGCAACTGGTCTGTTGTCTCAGGTGCAGTTTGCCCTGGCCAACCCAGCGGTCCTGGTGGCCGTTATCATCCTGAACGTAAGTCGAAGAAATATCGTTGGGGGTAAGGTTGGTTAATGAAGTTTAAAATCTACTTACACGAGGGTCATTAAGGCTGCATGTCACCCGTTCACCCCCACTTAAGAGTACTTTAATCTACCTAAAAATGGGATTTAAGTAAACTCTCAGTGAAGGACTTTTAAGTGTACATATACACAGAGATGCACAACTCTTCTTGTTTATATCCTTCTCACCACTCATTGCATATATCCTTGTAATAAACGAATTCCTCTCATAATTGCTTGATGCACTGGTAGCGTATAGCCTCCTCTTCTTTCTCCATTAATCCAATATCCTTCGTCAGCATCAACGTTACCCCCCGCATGGTCGCCAGCGCTTGTCTCCTGCACGTAACAGCGTGGCTTGGTCATTACCTGGGTGAGATTGCAAGTTCCACACCTACTGTAATAAACACACACTCGTCTTAAAGACACTTTTATTCTGAACTCTGCTTATAGGTACCTAGCGACGTCTGAACACTGTTTATAGGTACTTAGCGAAGTCTGAACACTGCTTATAGGGACCTAGCGACGTCTGAACACTGTTTATAGGTACCTAGCGAAGTTTGAACACTGCTTATAGGGACCTAGCGACGTCTGAACACTGTTTATAGGTACCTAGCGAAGTTTGAACACTGCTTATAGGGACCTAGCGACGTCTGAACACTGCTCATAGGTACCTAGCGATGCCTTAAGAGTATCGATCAAACATATTTGTGTGTGTGTGTGTGTGTGTGTGTGTGTGTGTGTACTCACCTAATTGTGGTTGCAGGGATCGAGACTCAGCTATGTGTGTGTATGTGTGTGTGTGTGTGTGTGTATAAAATCTGCCGTAAGGCTTATTTTCCATTGAGGCTGAGAGAGGCAAGACACCAGTCTGGGTTACAAAAGATGCTTGCTTATAAAAAGCGGTGCTAACAGCCGCAGCATCAGGCAATTAGAGAGAGCAAGAAGCGAGGGGCAGTTAACCTTCTTCACCGCCACAGATTACACTGCCTTTTGCTCTTCAGTCGCGAATGTGAAGAACAATAAACTACAGACGAGTGTTCGAAATGTTCAACGAGTTTGAACTTTTAAACGAGGTTAGTTAAACCGACAGTTTGTTAAAAGGGATGAAAAAAGTTTTGACGTTAAAACGAGATTTCCGGTGTGTACGTCTCTATAACGTAATGTATGGTTGCTGGACCTCCAACCCCCCCCCCCCTCAAGGGAGGTTCCTTGACGCTGGTGAGGGGCTCTTGATCCAGGGAATTGAATCTATGCTCCAGTTCCCTGAATTAAGCCAGGATACCTTCCATCCCTCCCCCCACAGGAGCTGTATAATCCCACGGGTTTAGCGCTTCCCCATGGTTATAATAATATAATGGAGTTTTCCCATTTCGGCCACTGAACGTTTGCAACTAGACTAGTCCTGGGACTGAGAGTAGTATACAACGAGAAATTGAAGAAAGTGTACCTGCCCACCTTGAAGGAGAGAAGAAGAAAGAAGAGGAGACATGATTACGACATACAAAATTCTAAGAGGAATAGAGAGGACTGTTAGGGAGGGATTGTGTAGGTTACAAGGATGTTAGGAATTATTTCTTCAGTCTCGGGCGGTTGATAAGTGATGAATGACTTGGACGAAGCAGGGGAGGAGGCAATCTCAATACGCAGCTTCACGAGTAGGTATGATAAGGTCCAAGAAGTATGATTGAAGTTTCTTGGATGATAGTCTGTCCAGAGGTTAGATGACTGGATGGTGATGCTGCCTTCCTGCCCTCTTACACACACACACACACACACACATGCACACACACACACACACAAACATGCACACACACACATACACACACACACACATGCACACACACACATGCGCACATACACACACACATGCAACACACACATGCACACACAAACATGCGCACACACACAACACACACATGCACACACATACACACACACACACATGCACACACATGCACACATACACACACACATGCACACACACATGCACACACACACATGCACAGACACACACATGCACACACACATGCACACACACACACGCACACACACACACACACACACACACACACACACACACACACACACACCACACACCACACACACACCAGGAGCTAAGACTCGACCCCTGCAACCACAAATAGGTGAGTACACACACACACACACTGATCGTAGCCGTGCTGGTGACTGACTGCAGTTGTGCTGGTGACTGACTGCAGATGTGCTGGTGACTGAATGTAGTTGTGCTGGTGACTGACTGTAGTTGTGCTGGTGACTGAAAGTAGTTGTGCTGGTGACTGCCCGTAGACGTGCTGGTGACTGAAGTTGTGCTGGTGACTGACCATAGATGTGCTGGTGACTGACTGTAGTTGAGCTGGTGACTGACTGTAGTTGTGCTGGTGACTGACTGTAGTTGTGTTGGTGACTGACTGTAGTTGTACTGGTGACTGTAGTTGTGCTGGCGACTGACTGTAGCTATGCTGGTGACTGACTGTAGTTGTGCTGGTGACTGACCATAGATGTGCTGGTGACTGACTGTAGTTGTGCTGGTGACTGACTGTAGTTGTGCTGGTGACTGACTGTAGTTGTACTGGTGACTGTAGTTGTGCTGGCGACTGACTGTAGCTATGCTGGTGACTGACTGTAGTTGTGCTGGTGACTGACTGTAGTTATGCTGGTGACTGTAGTTGTGCTGGTGACTGACTGTAGTTGTGCTGGTGACTGACTGTAGTTATGCTGGTGACTGTAGTTGTGCTGGTGACTGTATTTGTGCTGGTGACTGACTGTAGTTGTGCTGGTGACTCACTGTAGTTGTGTTGGTGACTGACCGTAGTTGTGCTGGTGACTGACCGTAGTTGTGCTGGTGACTGTATTTGTGCTGGTGACTGACTGTAGTTGTGCTGGTGACTGACCGTAGTTGTGCTGGTGACTGACCGTAGTTGTGCTGGTGATGTATTTGTGCTGGTGACTGACTGTAGTTGTGCTGGTGACTGACTGTAGATGTGCTGGTGACTGACCGTAGTTGTGCTGGTGACTGACCGTAGTTGTGCTGGTGACTGTATTTGTGCTGGTGACTGACTGTAGTTGTGCTGGTGACTGACTGTAGTTGTGCTGGTGACTGACCGTAGTTGTGCTGGTGACTGACCGTAGTTGTGCTGGTGACTGACCGTAGTTGTGCTGGTGACTGTATTTGTGCTGGTGACTGACTGTAGTTGTGCTGGTGACTGACTGTAGATGTGCTGGTGACTGACTGTAGTTGTGCTGGTGACTCACTGTAGTTGTGCTGGTGACTGACTAGTTGTGCTTGAGACTGACTGTAGTTGTGCTGGTGACTGACTGTAGATGTGCTGGTGACTGACTGTAGATGTGCTGGTGACTGACTGTAGTTGTGCTGGTGACTGACTGTAGATGTGCTTGTGACTGAATGTAGTTGTGCTGGTGACTGACTGTAGATGTGCTGGTGACTGACTGTAGTTGTGCTGGTGACTGACCATAGTTGTGTTGGTGACTGACCGTAGTTGTGCTGGTGACTGACTGTAGTTGTTCTGGTGACTGTAGTTGTGCTGGTGACTGACCATAGTTGTGATGGTGACTGACCGTAGTTGTGCTGGTGACTGACCATAGTTGTGATGGTGACTGACCGTAGTTGTGCTGGTGACTGACTGTAGTTGTGCTGGTGACTGACTGTAGTTGTGCTGGTGACTGACTGTAGTTGTGCTGGTGACTGACTGTAGTTTGTGATGGTGACTGACCGTATTGTGCTGGTGACTGACTGTAGTTGTGCTGGTGACTGACTGTAGTTGTGCTGGTGACTGACTGTAGTTTGTGCTGGTGACTGACTGTAGTTGTGCTGGTGACTGACTGTAGTTGTGCTGGTGACTGACTGTAGTTGTGCTGGTGACTGACTGTAGTTGTGCTGGTGACTGACTGTAGTTGTGCTGGTGACTGACTGTAGTTGTTCTGGTGACTGTAGTTGTGCTGGTGACTGACCATAGTTGCGATGGTGACTGACCGTAGTTGTGCTGGTGACTGACTGTAGTTGTGCTGGTGACTGACTGTAGTTGTGCTGGTGACTGACTGTAGTTGTGCTGGTGACTGACTGTAGTTGTACTGGTGACTGACTGTAGTTGTGCTGGTGACTGACTGTAGTTGTGCTTGAGACTGACTGTAGTTGTGCTGGTGACTGACTGTAGTTGTGCTGGTGACTGACTGTAGTTGTGCTTGAGACTGACTGTAGTTGTGCTGGTGACTGACTGTAGTTGTGCTGGTGACTGACTGTAGTTGTGCTTGAGACTGACTGTAGTTGTGCTGGTGACTGACTGTAGTTGTGCTGGTGACTGACTGTAGTTGTGCTTGAGACTGACTGTAGTTGTGCTGGTGACTGACTGTAGTTGTGCTTGAGACTGACTGTAGTTGTGCTGGTGACTGACTGTAGTTGTGCTGGTGACTGACTGTAGTTGTGCTTGAGACTGACTGTAGTTGTGCTGGTGACTGACTGTAGTTGTGCTGGTGACTGTAGTTGTGCTGGTGACTGACTGTAGTTGTGCTGGTGACTGACTGTAGATGTGCTGGTGACTGACTGTAGTTGTGCTGGTGACTGACTAGTTGTGCTTGAGACTGACTGTAGTTGTGCTGGTGACTGACTGTAGATGTGCTGGTGACTGACTGTAGATGTGCTGGTGACTGACTGTAGTTGTGCTGGTGACTGACTGTAGATGTGCTGGTGACTGAATGTAGTTGTGCTGGTGACTGACTGTAGATGTGCTGGTGACTGACTGTAGTTGTGCTGGTGACTGACCATAGTTGTGTTGGTGACTGACTGTAGTTGTGCTGGTGACTGACTGTAGTTGTGCTGGTGACTGACTGTAGTTGTGCTTGAGACTGACTGTAGTTGTGCTGGTGACTGACTGTAGTTGTGCTGGTGACTGACTGTAGTTGTGCTGGTGACTGACTGTAGTTGTGCTGGTGACTGACTGTAGTTGTGCTGGTGACTGACTGTAG